TCCCAAACCCCACTCATTTCCACCAGGAGCATGGAACCTGGGTCTTACCTCTCTATATATAGGTGCCTAATGTTTAGCACCATGATAAAAATAGCAGTCACTTGAAATACTGATTGAAAGAACTGACTTGGCATGTGCTGAACAAGCCCTGGAAGAAACTGTATCCTCTTAGAGGTGACCGCTAAAGAAATGAACTTGGACGAGATTTCCAAAGGAGAGAAAAGAAAACTAAGAGATCCTAAATATAGGTAATCATGGTGAATAATGGTGGAATATCTTTATCTAAAGAGCAGTTCCCAGAACATGCTCCCTGGCTTCTTTCAGCACTAAATGCCTCAACTGTAGCGCGGGGATCACCGCTCCTACCCCACAGGTTGCTGGGAGGATCAAACGAGCAGCACCCGTGAAGCACCTAGTACACCACCTGCCATTCAAACAGCGTTCCCTTTCCCCAAACCACTGCGGAACCGCGTGCCAGCCTGCTTATTTTTTGAAGCTTCAGTGACTGCTATAGCCTGAGAAGCAACCTGGCTTAGAAAAACAACGGCTATTTGAGAAAGGGAGGATAGACTTGTCAGATGCTCTCCCCTAGAGCTTAGTGTTTTCAATTTCAACACTAAAATGACTCCATACATTGCCAAATGGCACCTGGTTGAAAACCCCCATTCCAGAGCTAACTGAAATCCTCACAAAGGACTAAATCCTTTCCCTGATCTCTACAAATATATCTCATAAATTTATTCATCTCCCACTGACTGATCTACACATTAAACTTTGCTTAGACTTTATATGTCATTCATTGAAACTGGTAGCTAGCCCCTGAACTGTCAAACAAGTCATCAGAGATAATGCATGCAGTCTAACCACTCAGTGCATTATCACATGGTGTCCCTTAAATCCAAACTAATACAATGAAAGGAGGAGCAGCTGACCCCAAAAGGTCTTCACAGAAAATTAAGAGATTTGTCCCAATACTCAAGTGTCTAATCTTTTAGCTTCAAATCTACAGGTGGCACTAAGTAGAAAATGTATAAAATGAGTTTTAGTTGCCTAAGGACTTTTACAAGTTTGAAATAGACACTAATGACATATAAAATACATGATATATTTTTAAGAATTATTTTGCATCATATGCCCACGTATTGCAACAATATGAAAAGTTATGTAACACTAGTCAGTTTGCTCCGTGGTTAGAGCGAAGGCCCGTGGCCAAGGGCATGTACCTAGGCTGCAGGCTCAATCCCCGCCCCAGGTCCAGGCATGTGGGGGAGGCAGCCAATCGATGTGTCTTTCACATCGATGCCCCCCCCCTTCTCTGTCTCCCGCCCCTTTCTGAAAAGCAATGGAAAAAATATCCTCGGGTGAGGGTAAAAAACACACAAATGTTATGTACAATAACAAAAAAGAAGAAGAAAAATGGTAGAGAAACAAAAACTGAGTTAACAACTCACTACGGTTTTTGGATAAACTGTTTGAAGTTACTAAGTACAGCATGGTAACTGATAGTACAGACTTGGAATCAGACTACCTGAATTAGAATCCCAACCCCACCACTTACTATAGAGGTGACTTGATAAATTAGTTAACCTCTCTATGCCTGTTTCCTCCTTGGTAAAATACAGATAATTACGGTATCTACCTTGTAGGACTGTTGTGGACTGAATGAGTGAAAATACCTAATGTGCTGAAACAGTGCCTAGCACAAACATTATTTATCATTAGTTTTAATGATGCATAAGCACCCTGGGTGGCTTACAAAAGTAGGCACAGTAGAGTCAAACAACAAAAAACTTGCACCCACATGCTCTGGGTTCATATTTCAGTTCCTTAATTATTTCATTTAGCATCAATTTCCTCACCTGTAAAATAGGAAAGCACTTTGAAAATGATGAGCATAAGGGGAAATCTAAGGCACTATGTTTAGTAGCACAGTAGGGAAGAGTTGCATCTGTCTTCCAATTTGGAAGAGGAAATCTGGTGGAGGAGGTGCCTTTCAGGACAATAATCTAATAATGGACCAAATAGGGAAAAACACATGCCTTGACCCCAAGTAGGTGTGATTCAAAAGCCCCTGCTTTCTTTACTCCAGTGATTTTCAATCTTTTCCATCTCATGGCACACATAAACTAATTACTAAAATTCTGCAGCACGCCACAAACAATACCAAAAAAAAAAAAAAAAAAA